GCACTATGCCTGCAGGCAGAGCAAAGCGGACGTGGCTAGGCTGTGCCCTGGCAGACACCAGAGTGGCCAGAGGGTCAGTGGCACCTGGCTCTGGCTTTCCTCCCTCCCCACGTGGGGGCTGTGATTCTGGCTGGGCCGGGGGAGGCAGCAGACGACTCACACAAACATACCCACGAGGGCCTGATTCAGGTGCAGGGACAGGTGTCCTGCCGTCAGGTGACAGGAAGGAGCCAGCCACGTGGAGGCTGGGGGTGGGAGATTCAAGTGGAGGGAACTGGGAGCACAAAGACCTGGAGGTAGAAAGGACCAGTGGGACAAAGAGAAGGGAGGGACTATAGAGGAAAGGACCAGAGGAGGGAGAGGGAAGCACAGGGCCTGAGGTATACAGGGTCCAGAAGGGACCCAGGAGGGTTTTATGCCAGTGGCATAATCTATTTTTTCAAACTAGTTATCAGAAGAGGCGTGTCATGCCGCCTCTCCAACCTGGTTCTCTCCCTGTGGAACGGAGACGGTGTTCTGCCTCTAGGCCCTGAGAGGCGCAGAGTATCAGAAGAAAACAGAATTACAGCAGCCTCAAAATGAGATAGTTTGTTGTTGTTGTTGGGTTCTTTTGCCTTATAGCCTAGGGAGGGCCTAAGCTCCAAGCACTGGGGATGCAGGCTTCTTCCATCAGTGGCTGCATTATGCAAGGCTTCCATACTCAAGGTCTCCTCGTGGTCCCCTGTGGCTATTGGAGCTCTAGCCATTTCACCCATGTTCCAGCCAGCAGGAAGGGAGAACTAATGAATATTCCCTGTTTAAGGCCCTTTCTTCGATGTTGTGTGCACCTCTTTCATTGCCAGATTATAGCTGTAGGACACGGAGCTGCAGGGAAGTGCAGCTCTGAACAAAAGCTTAAAAACCAGGAGTCTGTGGCTGGGGTCTGGGGACAGAGAGCGGAGCTGTCTGCTCCCCCTGCCACTGTGCTCTGGCAGCTGGCCAGGGCTTTGCTGGACATAGGTGCAGTGTGGCATCAGTGTCCTCCTGGCCTTGGGGAGCCCTGGGGGAGAGTCCACTGTCCAAGCAGGTAGGGCTAGATCAAAGGACCAGACTCAACAGAGGAGGCGGGGGCTGGCTTCCCGCTTCTCCCTGTCCATTCCATTGCGTGAAGGACCAGCTCGTCCCACCAGGCAGTGGACTGCTCTGTTAGCTCTGTGAATGGCCACACAATGTGCCAGATGGCACATGGCCATGACCAGTCACTCCCACTAGGTTCCTGGTGTCCAGGGGACTTCTGGGGCAGCTATGCCTTGCCCCGTGGCCTTGGGCATGTGACTTCTCCCTGGAGAACAGAGCGACATCATCAGGCACCTGCATATCACCAGCCTGTTATCATCCTTGACCCACCTGTGTCCCCTGCTCCCACAGGACCCCGACTGGTGACCTCGGCAAACCTCTTGGTGCTCCGATCCTCCGCCCTCCTGTCTTCGGCATGCTCAGATGGCACAGCTCCTCGTCACCATTCCACCCCTCCTTCCTCTGTCCTGGAATGCAGAGCTCATGCCACGGCACGCCGCCTCCCTCTGTGCGTGATATTGCAGGAGTTGTGATTCCTGGAAACACCTGCCAGACACGCAGCCCCCCACCCGCCATGAGGCCAGGTCACAGGCTCCTACAGTGGGCAGGCATGCCCAGGACTGGCAGCAGGCATGTGCGGGCAGCCTGGGAGGAGGCAGGAGCTGCTGTGCAAGCCACTCTGCCTCTTGCAGCTGTGTAGCCTGGGGCGTGTCATGCCGCCTCTCCAACCTGGTTCTCTCCCTGTGGAACAGAGACAGTGTTCTGCCTCCAGGCCCTGAGAAGTGCAGAGCAGGCACGGACTGCTTCCCAGGCTCCCTGCAGGAACGTGCAGTCGGTGTGAGCTGTCTAACAACTGGAGCTTTCTACCATGTTCTCTGGGAACCCAGTGGCACCTCCACACTCCCTTTGGTGACAGGGGTGCTCAGCCCTGGCAGTGGGGTGGGGGAGAAGGGCCCTGGCTCTGGCTGCCTTCCCTCAGGGCTGACAAAAACGCCCTGTGCCCTGCGAAGACCTCCTCCACATGACAAGCCGAGGCACGAAGGTCTGTGTGCTCAGAAAGGCCTGGAGCCCTCATGTGAACTAGTCATACACACGCACAGCCTCTCTTTGTTAGAGCCAGGGGGCTCAGCCATGGCCCTTGCTGGGCCCCTCCTCCTCTATGTCCCTCCTGGGGACAATTCCCATGGACCCTGGGATCAGGGCCAGCATCTGGAGCTGAGTATACAGTTCAATGGCTCAGCATCTCCAGGAGACCCTGGAAGCAGGGAGATGGCTGGGACATACGGGGCACGGTCCCTTTAAGATGTGTCCTGGGCTGGGTCCAGCAGAGGACAGCCTGGTAAGCAGCCCTAAGCACAGTAGGGAAACCAAGTGGGATGACACAGCAGACACCCGGGAAAACCCTCAGTGCAGACATGCAGGACAGCCCCCAGTGAGGCCATGCTCTGGCAGCCTGCGAATGCACCACTCACATGCAGTGACCGCTGGGGAAACTGAGGCTGGGGGCCACCATCACAGAGCAGGTTTACAAACCCAGAGTCTGATTTCTCAATTGCATTCAATACAGTCTTCTTGTCTTCTCTTGGAAATCAAGACTAACGGATCTCACAGGTTGGAGCCACCAAAGGGCCCAAAGCACAGAATAGGCTCTGGTTCCGCCCAATACCTTGGAGGCCTTCCCGCCTGCCACCGTTGGACCACCAGAAACATGTTTTCTCTGTGTCTTCTCCCTCTCTCCAGGACCCCCTACACACACCCCGTGTTGGCCAGGGCCACCCACAGGGTGGAGCTTGTCCCATACAGTGGCCACAGGGGGCAGTTTTTGTGTGGATGGAGCCCACATTTGAAGATGTGGATTTCCCCCTGCTCGTGCACAGTTAAGTGAGGCGACAGTGACCCGGTCAGGTAAGAACAGTGGTTACCAGGCGGGGTTGAGGCTGTGACACCATCTCTGAGCCTGTCTCCTCAGCTGTAAAGGAGGCCAAACAGCTCCTCGATGCTGGACCTCAGCTGTGCTCCGGTGGAGAGGCACCACCTGGCTATCCTGTCACACCCTTCCCCTCCGCCTCAGTCCAGTGGGGGTTCGGCAGTCCGCCTGTGGGCCATAGGACTCAGGGGCTGCGGTCAGAGTGAGCTTGCCTGACTCTCCCAGGGTGGCTCTAAAGTGCCCTTGACCCCCAGAAGCCTCTCGTGGGCTGAAGAATGAATACACCAGGAAACGGAGACCAAGCAACCAGCCCTCATCACACAACCAGTGGGGGCCCCGTTGGAATCTGGCCACTTCGCTGGCCCCCACCCGCCCCTCCTCTCAGCTGACTTGCCATGGGGCAGGAACAGGGCATGGACCTGGGGTGAGGGGACAAGTCCCTTTTTCTGGTAAATCCCTCAGGGTGACTTGCATTTTTTGTGCCTTCGGTTTCACTTACAAAACTCGCCCCCTCCCCGGGCAGAGGCAAGGGCGGGAACAGGGAAGACAAGCTTGGGGCCACGTGGGTTAGGCAGGAGTTGGGTCCCAGGGCCACCAGAAGGCTGCCTGTTCTGCCTGAGAATGTCCAGTGAGGTGGGGACGGGACAGACAGGCTGCCACACTCCTGGGGGACAGCATGGCTCCTGGGCTGAGTGCCTTGGTCTGAGCTTCTCCCCAGCCATGCCTCACTTTCTTCCCCTGACCAGTGAGGGAGGAGAATGGCCTCTCCCCAGGACCCTTAGTAACACCAGAAGTGATGGCACCAGGCCCCACACGGTGCTGACCTCTGTGACTTGCCCACTGTCTCTCAGCTCCATAGGGTAGGGGCCCACTGCTTTCTTTGGTCCAGCCTCCAGTGTCTCCAACAGGATCCGGCACACATGTGAGCTTGGGTGCCATTGTTGAACCTCTGGCCCCTTCATTTCTTTGGGGGAGAGAGAAAAGAAATCAGGCTCACATGGCCTTGACCAAGCCCTAACCTGAGGCCAGGAGCCAGTGCTGGAGGTGAAGGCACAGAGATCAGCCACCCACTGGAGACTACAGGGCTGTAAGGTGGCAGATCTGGGCAGCGCCTGGCCTGGGGGCAGTGACAGGGTCTGCTCACTACTTCCTAAGGCTTTAGGGGAGGCTTGTGTGAACCCCAGGAGATGCACAGTCTGAGGTGCAACCAGTGAAAGGGTGCAAAAGGCAGCTGAATCTGGGAGAGGTCAGGGCCAGGACGGAGGAGACAGGCAGCTGGCCTTCACCCCTGCCCTCCAGGCTTCTGCAGCGCCGCGTTGCCCTGGAAGATGACGTTTCCCTCTCCCCTCCACCCCACCTGGCTTCCCACGCCCGGAAGAGGTGGTTCCAGGGTGTCTCGGGAAACAAAGCCGACAGAGCACGGGCTGGGAACCGACTAGCTCTGCGGGCCGGGCACAGGGTGCCGCCTCCGGGCAGAGCGGCGCGCGCTCCGGGATCTGCACTCTGCCCCGTCCCCGCCATCAGGCTGTGCCGGAGGCCCCTCGGCCCCCAGTTTCCCACGTAGGAAAGCTGATGACCACAAGTAGGAAGCCACGTGCACCCACTTGCCGTGCGGGCAGCGGGCGCCGAGCCGGAGCTGCCTGCAGCCTGAGGGCGAGCCCCGCCCGGGAAAGCCTGGCCGGGCCGCGGCGGCCACGCCCGCTCGCCTTGCAGCGGCGCCCTGCAGTTTGCAAAGTGGCCAGGGAACGGCTGGTTTTCTTGACCTCACGTCATAAAGTGGCCATCACCGAGGGCCAGAGGGCTGCTGCGGCCGGGCACTTGGGGGCCCTCCGGTGCCATTACGGGACCCGGCGCCGCGCTGCCCGGGACCCCGCGTCGCATCAGACGGCGCTGTCCAGGCCCGCTTGCCCTGGGACTCCGGCCCGGCCCCGCCCCAGCGGAGGCGGAGTCTGGGGGCGGTACCGCGGCGCGGCGGGGCGGGGCGGGCCGGGAGGCGAGGCGGGGCGGGGGCGGGCACACAGCCGCGGACCCGGCGGCAGAGGCGCGGGCGGGTTCAGGCCCGGAGCTAGGCGGCCCGCGCGGTCGCACCATGGATTCGAGCACCGAGGAATACGAGCTCAACGGCGACCTGCGCCCGGGCTCGCCCGGCTCCCCCGATGCCTCGGTAAGACCCCCACCCCCGCTGCTGTGTGACCTTGGCTGGCACCTCCCTCTCTGGGCCCGGCACCCGCGGCTCTGCGGGCACCTGTGTGCGTCGCCTGGTGAGCTCCCCATGCTGTGTGGTGGTGGTGGGCGACGATGCGCCAGAACGACGTCCCGCTCGTCCTATCCGGGACCCAAGCAGTGGCCCTGGAGGCTCTGGCCGCCCCTGCAGGGTCACAGGGGCGCGGGGAGGACTGGCGTGCTGCGGTCCGCAGCCCCATGGACCGTACCAACGCTCAGCTGCGCGGCGGAGCTGGGGCGCCGCTCTCCAGCAGGGACGGCCTCCCACAGCGCCCTTCTAACTTCAGCCTCACCGCCCCATCTCCTCCTGCGTGCCCCCGGGGTGGGCGGAGAAGAGTCACGGCATCTGGGCTCCAGGCCAGCAGTAAGCAGACGGCTACGTCACAGGGTGACCACACTGTCGGATGCTGCCCTGATGGGGGAACCCCAGGCTCCACTCACCTGCCCTGAAAAATGAACGTCACCCACTCAAAGCCTTCAGAGTGTCCACTGGTGGGCCCTAGTGGGGCCTGCCCAGAGCTTGCCCTGCAGGGCCCTGGAAGGCTGTGAGCATGGGGCAGGCCTTAGCAGGGTCCTGCCCCTGTGTTGGAGGTACACCCTCTTCCTGAACCTCCTCCCCACCTTCCAGCCCCTGCTCCTGCCAGGGCTGAGCCGGCCAGGGAGCCGTCCTGGCCTGGCCCTCTGGTGACTTGTTGACTTTGGACATCCTTTCATTTTCCGACCCCCCAGGAATGGGGGTGGGGAACTATGGTCTGGTTGGGATTTTCCAGGCTTGCTTTAGGCATGATTGGGGCAGAGTGACCAGTCCTAGGAGTATTCCTTGGGGATAGGCCATGTTTGGGAGAAAGGGCACCAGCAGGAAGTAGGGTCAGTCCTGGGGTTACACACATGTTTGTCCCTGGATTAGAGATGAGGAAACAGGACTTAGAGGAGTCTTGGGACTCACCTAGGTGTGCAGGACTGAGACCTGGCTCTGCCCCAGTGTGTGAGCACTTTGAAGCAGCTGGCAGAGGAGACCCTGGCTGTGTGTCCTTGGGGATGGGGGGGGGCACTCATCTTTTGGGCCTTCTATACATGGTCTTAAAAAGGGAGAACCCGAGGCACGGTGGCGCCTGCCTGTAATCCCAGCAGCTCCTGAGGATGGCGAGTTCAAAGCCAGCTTCAGCAATGGCGAGCCGCTAAGCAACTCACTGAGACCCTGTCTCTAAATAAAATACAAAATAGGGCTTGGTCTGTGGCTCAGTGGCCCAGTGCTCCTGAGTTCAATCCCTGGTACTCCCCCCCACCACCACCTAAAAAAGGGAGTACAAATGATCCCTGGCGGCCTTCGAGGATATATCTTAAGCAAATAAAGTCAATAAAGAGGCAGGTGACTTGGAAACTGGTTTAAAGGAAGGGATTCTGCTCGCCCCCCACCCTTGGCCTTGCCTAGACTCTACCCTCTACTCAGTACCATCTCTGCTCAGCTCTGTAGGCATTAGGGTGGGTCCTGCCTCCCAGGGGCTCTGGGTGTATCTTGGGCTCAGGAGAGACCTGGTTGGGTGCTCAGGGGTCATTATTTTGGGTAGAGACCAAAGGGAGAGAGAAGCAACCTCCTACCCCTATCTCAGTCTACCTTCAGAAATCAGAGAGCAGCCCAGACCAGGTGGAAAAATGAAGGCCAAGGTGTAGGATTCCAGGAGCTAGAGGGCCACCACACTGTGGGGTGGGGGATGTCAGGCCTCCTGTGGAGATGATGATGGATGTCCTCGCCAGCCCCAGGGTGAGGAGGAAGGCAGACAGGTCTGACCCTCTACATATGGAGGGTACCTAGGCTCAGGGAACAGTACAAGCAAAGTCCCAGAGGCCAGACCTCCACACACATGCATCTTGAGGCGGTGGGCTGAAAAGCCTGGCCCTGAAGAAGCTTTGTAGGCCCATCCGAGGTCACAGGAACCTCGGGTCCCCAGCAAGAGGCTTCCATGAGGAGTGGTCAGCCTACGAGTCTTTTCTGCTCACTCATATGGCTCAATGCCTTGTCCCCCCTACTGTGGGGACCCTGCGGTGCCATTTCTTGAGCCACCATGTTAGCACTCTGCCTCAGTTTCCTATCTGTAGGTAACAGTTCTTCCCCCTGAGTGACATCATGGTGAGTCCTATGTGCTTATCTACAGGAAATGCGTGGAGCAGGGCCCAGCACACAGTGGCATTGGCAACTTATAACTTTCTACCACAGAGACCCTTTCCTTGTGGTGACACCAGGCTGTGTGGCTCCAAAAGAGCAGCACCTTCCCCAGGGTGGGTCCTTCAGGAGGGCCTCCCTCCTCTATAACACTGGGCACTGTTGCTTGCTTCCTAGATGGCTGAAGCTCGCCAGAGTCACAGCTGTACCTCCTCTGCAGGGGTGCCCAGGCGGGTCCTCTCCAGCTCCGCCATGCCTCCTCCCACATTCCTGGCATCCCTAGGGCCCTTCACATGAGGATCCCTGTCAGTGTCCAGGGATTGAGCCCGCTCCTTCTGTACCTCGACTCACTTTGGGCTGGCAGCACAGGAAGAGTAAACATCAGTTTGAATGTGGAAATGCCCCACAGTTATGTCATGCCCAGTACTGCATTGCCCACTGCAGGAGGGAGATGGCCAAGAAGTGACTGGAGCATGGCTGGGTCACAGCCCTCTGGTGTCAATCCATATCCCTGCCACTCACAGTCCCTAGGGCGAGGTTCCTAATGCCACCTCTCTAGCCTCCAGGACACGGATTTTTACTCAAACACTGCACAGCCTCAGCTGCCAGAGGAAGTTCCCTCTTTCTCTCATTTCTTTTTTTTTTTTTTAATATTTATTTATTTATTTATTTTTTAGTTTTCCGCGGACACAACGTCTTTGTTCGTATGTGGTGCTGAGGATCGAACCCGGGCCGCACGCATGCCAGGCGAGCGCGCTACCGCTTGAGCCACCTCCCCAGCCCCTCTTTCTCTCATTTCTGCTTGCCTGGCAGGTCCTGAGACTGATAGGATCTTAGCTAAATTCTAAAGGCGACCCTGATGGGCCTCGAGGTTACTCCTGGTCAGTACTGAGCTTAGGGGAAGTAGTACTGCCCAGCCCAAGCCATAGCCCAGCTGCTAGGAGGACCCCGCCTCCTGTACTTCCTGCTGTCTGGCTAGGGTTTCCTGCCAGGAATGCAGATGTGGAACCCAGAGACCCTCAGGCCCTGCTTCCTGAGCTGGTTAGGCATGAACAGCAGAGGCACAGGTGTAGGCCTCAGAGGGCTAGACCTGGAAGCCAGCCCTGGTGGCTTCATGCCAGTCCTGGTCTGGGGGGATGGACCCAGAAGTCCTACCCCCGCATGGATGAGAGATGCCCAAAGCCCACAGGTCCATGGAGGTTGTGGGAACTGAATTCTTGGGTCTCCCCACTAGCTTTTGGTGCCTAGCTAAGCCTAAGAGGCAGGCCTGGGAGCAGGCCAGGCTGGAGTCAGCCAGGATCTAACTAGACTTGGACATCGGTCACCCAGGGCAGCAACTTGACCTGATGCCTCCCTTGGGTTTGGTCAGCCCAGAGGGACCCAAGCCCAACTGTCCTTTCTTTTCTTGGTTGCCGTTTTATTTGTGTGCCATTATTTATGAGCTGGTAGAGCTTTTGGGTAGGAGGCAGAGCCTGTCACGATGGGAACAGCCACATATCGGGTGGAGGAACATCCGAGCCCTGTCACCCACTACAGGGCACTGTAACAGGCCATAAGACTTCTGAGACTGCTTTATACAGTCCTCTCCACATCCCTGTCTGCCTGTTTTATAGATGAGAAAACTGAGGCACTTCTGGTCACTGGGATGGGGATGACAGAGGAGGTGTGGTGGCAGCCCCAGCCCAGCTCTGGGCAAGGCTTCTGTGGCAGCAGCTGGTATAATGGGCCCAGCTTGGGCTACAGTCCCCCCAGGCAAGTTCTGGGGGACCCATAGCACCCATTGCACTATGACTAAGCCAGGCTATGGGTGCAGCAGGGCTAATTCAAATGCTCTCTGGACCAGCTTCCCCTGAACCTGAGCTATGGAAGGCAGGTGGCCCAGGACCATGTGACCATAGAAGGCAGCCCCCTGCATGGGGCTGACTCTCCCTGGGGTTTTTTTCCCAGTATTTACAGGAAAACGGGCATCACCCCAGCTCCCAGATCTGCTGAGGTTTCAGGGAACTCCTGTTGGCCCCAGGGACACATTAACCAGGGTGTTTGTTCCCTGAACTGCCCAGGTCACGGGCACAGGCTCCAGCAGGAGTTTTCTGGCATGCTCTTGGCAGTTGGTCAGGCCTGTGGGGCTCCCTGACCTATGGTTGATAGGTCTATCTGCCTGCTCATCTTGAGACCGTTGTGCAGGCCCAAGGCCAGGGAGCCCCAGGAGGCCTGGTGTGCTGTCCCCTTCCCCAACCACATGAAGCTCCCATCAGCCCACATAGCCTTAGTGGTTCCTCTGCCCAGGATGGACACCAGTGTGTGTCCCAAGGCAGCCCTGGGCTTAGGGTACTCGTCTTGGGCTTGAATTCTGATCTCCTTCCTTGAGATGCCCTGGGCAGGCCCCTTCTGAGCCTCAATCTCCTGGTCATGGAAAGGGAAAGTAATGCTCCCTCCCATCCAGTGGGTAGGCAGTTGTGCATGTGGGGAGACTGAGGCAGCAGAGGGAGGCTGTGGTTAGGGCCTTAGAGCCAGGCTGGGGGGAATGAGGGCTTGAGCCAGTGCAGAGGCCTCCCCAGCCTTGACCATAGTTCAGCCTGTGCTTCTTGTCATTGCATAGAGTGAACAGGAAGCAGATGGCTGGGTGGGCCAGAAGTACTCTTCACCAGGAGGGACACTGGGTTGGGGACCCTGCTGGCCCCAGGGCTCTGAGCCATTCGGGGTGTTTGCTTCGCAGTCCCATGAAAGACAAGCTCAGAGTGGGACTAACTGTCCTGAGCCTGGGGCAGGGAGTCCCCCAGGAGCTTCATGGATACTCTGGCCCACCTTGACAGGGACTATGGAGATAGTGTTGTCATCCTCTAGGGCTCTGAACCCCAGAGCCTGGGTTCAAATTCCAGCCAGTCCTTTCTTGCTGTGTAGCTTTGAATAAGGAACCTCCTGCCCTGAGCCTCAGTTTACCCCACTCAAGTGGGTATGAGGACAGGACAGCAGGGACACAGACTCCCATGATGGGGGCTGCTGAGGGCTGAGGCCAGGGGCCAGGACATGGGACTCTGCTGCTGACAGTGCTCCTTCATGACGAATGTATGTTGTGTGTGTTGTTTGTACATGCACGTGTGCACATGTGTGTTGTGTGCATATGTATGTATGATGTGTATGTGTGCTATGTATGTGTGTATGTGCTTATGTGAGCCTATTGTGTATATACTGTGTACATGTGTGGGTGTGTTTATGCATGTGTTGTGTTACATATGTGTCTGTGCACCTTATGTGGGTGCCTCTAAGTGGTATATAAGTAATTGCACATGTATGTGCCTGTGTGTGTCCATGTGTGTATAAGTGTTACATGCTGTATTGTATGAATGTGTATTGTGTACAATCTGGAATGATTGTATATTTTGGGTATTTGTGTTATGCATGGTATGTTTATGTGTGTGTGTTTATATGTGTGCATTTCATGTGTATATGTGTGGTTGTGCACATGTATATTGTGTATGTTCACATGCGCATATTGTCTGTGTGTGTTGTGGGCTGTATGTTTGTGTGCATCTGTGTCTATGTCTATGGAAGGTTCTCACAGGATCTATATTTGCCTTTTCTTTTAAGGACAGCTCCTGGGCTGGGACGTGGCTAAGCCCGGGGGCAGCCTGGAGGGAAAGCACTTTGGTACCCTGGGTTTAAGAAATTAGGAGCACATGCCTACTGTGAACCAGCAGCCCCTGGATGCTCTGTACCCAGAAGAGCACATGTGTGTGGCAGGGTGTGGCCAGCTGGATGGCCTTGTGGAAGCAAAGCTGGAGGTGACCTCAGTGCCAGACATGGGCCAGTTAACACAGACTGCCCACACCCAGACCCATGCAGCCTGGGAGGGGTCCAAGGGGTGCAGCCACCCCAGAGGGGCCTCGTGGCACACCTGCAGTGATTCCCGAGCAGCACTGGGCAGGGGGCTGGTGCTGGTGGCCAGCCCAGGTGGAGACAGCTTTGCTCTGTGCTCTGCAGTGTAGGACTGACCTGAGTGACTGTACCACACAGCAGCTGATGCCAAAGGCAAGCGGTTGGAATGTTCCGGCCCAGGAGCAGGCAGCAGAGCCCAGCCGTATCTGCACGCACCCTGCCTTCCTCTTGGGCACATTTAACTTAAAAACACACACCACCAGAACAAAACCCTGGCCATGTGACACCTGTGTCCACCTCCCTCACACCTGCAGCACTGGCCTCTCACCCCTGCATCTTTCATGAGTTTGGAAACAGGATCTCCCTCCCAGAGTAGCCCCAGGAGGCCACCACCAGCATTGGCCCTGGCCACTGCCTCCAATCCAGTGCCCAGTCCCTGGAAGCTACAGAGCAGGGCCAGGCAGCCCTGGACCGAGGACCAGGGCTGAGGGTGGCGGGGATTTCTGTGGTGGCTGAGAAGGGATCTGACCAAGACAGTTTGAGGGGGGCTGCCTGGCTCCATGGAAAGAAGAAGCCAGGTACCTATAGGGGCCCTGGAATAAAACAGGCTGGCTTAAGAGGTGACCTCCCATGGTAGGAGAGGTCTCTCCTACTAGGAGAGGTCACAGGAGGCTCTCTGGAGGCAAGGGCCTCTAGACAGGACCTCAGAACGTGAGGGTCCATGGTAACAGGAAAGGGTGCTGGACGGGGAGGGAAGTACAGGCCCCCTGTGACTGGCTGGGTTGAGGGGTAGGAGGCAGCAGGAAAATGGCATGGGGCTGAGTGGGGACTGGGACCAGCCCTAAGATAGGAGAGTGACGTCACCAGGAGATACGCACCATAGAGAAGAGATCAGGACGTGTATTCCTGTGTTCTTATTATGAAAGTTGACACAGCGAAGTTTGACTGAATGCAGCATGCCAAGGCATCTATTGAGCTCCTGCTGTGTACTGGCAGACTCTTGGTGCCCTGTGTCTTTGAGCAGCTTGCAGCTAGGCTGGGTGGCCAAGCCATTCTGCAGGGCAGTGTGGGGGGTGGGGGCAGGGGACTGAGGAGCCTGAGGGGAGGTGACCGAGGCAGGACTGGCCTCAGGGCCCAGCCCAGGAAGGGCTTGTTTCAGGCCTGGGCAGTATTCAGGGACCTGTCCACCCACACACCGTTTCCCTTCCTGGCACCCAACAGGAGCCCAGGCCCTGAGTGGGGAGAGCCCTGGGCACAGGCAGCCAGGGAGGAGCACCCCTGCCGTGGGAGGGTGTGGGCCTGGAACACCAGAGTGCCTGTGCTGAGGTCGCCATTTTTCCCTCCCTCTGGGACTTTATTCCTGGGCTCCCCTTTGTAACGGCTGAACACATTCGGAGTGACGCACTTACCATGGCCAGGGCAGCAGAAGTTGTGGGGGGACTTGGCCCCGGCCCCTCCCCTGCTCACTGACGGTCCCTCCCTACAGCCGCCGCGATGGGGCCGGAGGAACCAGCCCATCAACATGAACCATTACGCCAACAAGAAGAGCGCAGCCGAGAGCATGCTGGACATTGCGCTGCTGATGGCCAATGCGTCCCAGCTGAAGGCCGTGGTGGAGCAGGGCCCCAGCTTTGCCTTCTTCGTGCCCCTGGTGGTCCTCATCTCCATCTCCCTGGCTCTGCAGATCAGCGTGGGCGTGCTGCTCATCTTCCTCGGTAGGAGCCTGGCTCTCCGCTCCCCGCCTGGGCGCCTGCCACCCTGCACGCCTGGTTCTCACGGAGCTGCCCCTTCCCCAGCCCTCCTCTGCAGGGCACGTCGCCCAGGATTTGATCCCCCACCCCCAGCCAGACCCTGCACTGTGAAATACGGCAGGGTCGGGTCCTCAGGGCTGGGGCCTGTCCCCCGCCAGGCCCTTCCAGCTCCCTCCACAGGGTGACCTGTGCCAGCCAGCTCTTACAGACTGGCATCAGCCAGGCCCATCCCTGGTGACATGGTCCAGTGAGAAAAGAATTCCAAGTCACACAGGAAGTGAAGAGGGCCCAGGAGGCAGGGGGGGACCCTGAAATGAGGAAGGACACTGGCCCTGGAGGTGAGGAGGGAATCTAGGCACAGGAGGTGTAGAGGGAATTCAGACCCAAGGTGGTGAGGAAGGGCCTTGGACCAGGAGGTGTGGAAGGACACTGGGCCCACAACGTGAGAAGGAAATCCTGGCCCAGGAGGCGAGGGGGAGCCCTGGACCCTGACCACTATCTCCATGGCCAGAATGTCCAGCCATCCTGCTGGTTTTGAGCAAAAACCCAAATTGTAGGTTGTAACCTCTGGTGTTCCAGTCTTCCCCAAATTGAGTCACTAAATAATATTCCTTCAAAATCAGACCAACTTCCTCGGATGGACTGACAGGTGGACCAGAGGCAGGCAGGCAGGAGGGAGAGTCCATAGAGAAAGGCACATGAGGGCACAGTACATTTGCCTTAGAAACCAAACCTGGTCTGGCTTGATGACCAGGAGAAGCATGATCTTGGGTGCTTGACTGGCCTGGGCTTCAGTTCCTCATGGAGAAAGTGGGGGGGGGGGGTGGCTACAGAAGACAGAACCCCCAAACCCAGGGGATGCACTATCAGAGTTTTAGCAAAACATTACTTTTTCTGGGGACAAAACTTAGCCCATGTGTGTTTGAAGACCCTGTGATGTCCACACAGCATGGTCCCCAGGTCGGTTCTCCCCTGGCCTGGGTCTGGGCCGCCCTGGACACCATCTGCTCCCTCTTGCCCACAGTCAAGTACGACCTTAACAATCCGGCCAAGCACGCCAAGCTGGACTTCCTCAACAACCTAGCCACGGGCCTGGTGTTCATCATCGTGGTGGTCAACATCTTCATCACGGCCTTTGGGGTCCAGAAACCCGTGATGGACGTGGCACCCCGGCAGTAGGGCAGCCAGGTGAGCCGGGAGGGGAGCGTGGGACCCGTAGCTGTCAACTGCCACGAAGTCTCTTAGGGCAGGTGAGCCTCCAGCTGGCTTTCCTGGTCACCCTTTTCCCCATGGTCACCACCTTGATCCAGGCCTGGCCCCCCCCGCTGGGGTCCAGTGACCACAGTGCTGAGGTATGACACATTTTGAAGCCGCTGTTCAAGTTGGTTTGGTGTGTTTTTGTGGTGCTGGGGATGAACCCAGGGCCTCATGGGTGGTGGGCAGGTAGGTGCTCTACCACGGCCAAACACCTGGCCCCTGGAGCTGCCGCTGACATACCCAGAGAGCTCATGTGAAAATCTATCTTTCTGGCTTCTTTTGAGAACCCCGGGGGTTCTGTCCCTATGTCAGCCACACCCAGCAGGTGGTGCCTAATATGAGCCTTCACCTGAGAAAATGGCCTCTGCCTACCCGGCTGCCTCACCACGGCGGTATTCAGGGTCTTCTGACGTGGAGCCCTGTGACACCTCATCTACCCTTGCTGGGCCTTGGAGGGTCTGTGTCACCCCTGCTCAGGGCAGACCCTGGCTCCATTCAGGGCAGACTGCAGCCACCCTGCTCCTGGAATATAGGACGCAGTGTAAGAAGCATTTCCTGTACCATGTTCCCCCTCCCCTGTCCTTGCCCTGGGAGGGTGAGCACCTGCCCGAGGACACCTAGCCAGGGAGCAGGATGAGCAGGGAAGGCCAGGTGACTTGGTCTGAGGCTGGGACCATGCACACCACAGTCTTGTTGCTTTGGTCCGGAACTGTCAACACCAGAGTCCACATGGTTGAGGGCCAGAGATAGCCATATTCCCTGTGGGGGACACACTGGCCCCAGTTCTCTTGGTCATGAGCCTAGGGTTGCTCTTCTGAGCTAGGAACTGGGTAGGGTTTGATTCGCTGCCTGGTTGGTTATAAGTTGTCCTTCCACAGAGCGCCTTGTGTGCCATCCTGACCCTTTACACATAGCATGACCAGGCCCCTTAGTAATCATCTGCTGTGTAGCCTGAACACAGTCCTTGACCCTCCTTGAGTACTGGTCATCTGCTGGGTTCTGGGCTTATGGGCACTTAAGGGCCTACTCTTCCTGGTCCCCGCCCTCCATGGGTATCCTTGGGGTATTCTCATGGGCCCAGAGTCCAGGACTGCTGCATGTACTGGGCCGCAAGTAGCCATAGCAGAGTCTTGGACTTGGTGGGTAGTTGTGGTCACTGCTGCTGGACCTTGGTGGGTCAGGCCTTTACCTCCTGACAGGGACCCAGGAACACTGTACTTCAGAGGGAGAATCGAGGGCTCAGAGAGATGTGCTGACTCAGCCAGGCCAGACGTGACCTTCTCCCTCTTGAGTCTGAGTCACCAAGTATGTGGCCCTGAGGTGCCTGTGGGCTGGTCACCAGGATGGGCTTGGAGCCCCCGCCCCCCCAACCTGGGGCTCTGTTGAGTGGCCAGGCAAAACTCACACCTCTTCTCTCTTCTGTCTAGAACCCTGAATGGCAACTGCCCCACAGCCTGGCTGCCCAGAGCCCAGGAGCCACCGTGCCCTGAGATGTCCACCACTGTGTGGAGCACTCCCCAGACCTGCCAGAGCCCAGGCTGCTCTCGACTAGTCTGTGTCCTGGGACGAGCCTCTGTTCTGACTGTGACTGCCCCATAGAAGGCTACTCTTGTCATGTGGGGCCTGGATGTAAGGCCCAGAAGGTCAGAACTGGACAGTCCCACAGACATGCAGCAGGTCCGTGGATGGGCCGGATGGAGGGGCCAGCAGTGGCCTCTATCTCAGGACATTCGCGAAAGACAAGGCGATTCCCCTCCCTTTGCTGATGCACCAGCAGACCTATTTCCCATGGGGCCTTGCCAGGTGGCTCTGGTGACTGCTGCCTCATCCATTTCCTAACTGGGGACACTGGATAGCCAGCACCACCTGTTGGCCTTAGTGGTGGCCACTGCTCTGGCTTCAGTGCCTGGGCTTAGTGGCCATCAAAAGGCGGCTGTGCCTGTGTGGGCCATCACCCTCCCCGTGCCCTCCAACCAGCAGTGGCCCTGCAAAGCCCAGCCCCTCCTCAGGGGTCCAAACCCCACTTTTCTAATCAGGAATGATTAATAAAGCTTGTGCTTCTCCCTGCTGGGCTCCGTGCACCATCCTCCCCCTCCTGGGGTGGGACCCTGCCACGGCCCCCTCTCCTTGCAGGGGCCTGGGAGCACTGAGTTTCAGCCAGGGCTGCCTTCCCCAGAACGCTGGGTTTGGGGAGCTCTTTGGCTCCCATCTCGACTCAGGGTGAGATTTAGAGGCAGAGAGGCCAGGGTTTGAAGCTCCAAGGCCTTGCTTGCCTTCATTTCTTTGTGCACAGGCAAAATCCCCAGGAAGTTTGCAAGAATAAAGAATCCCCTTACACACTTGTGAACATTTTGCCAAGTGTGTCCTTAGCTGTCCCAGAACCTGCACCTCCACAGCCTTTGTGACCCACCCACACTGGGTACCTACTATGTGGCAGAGGGTGGGCTGGCCTCCAGGGTGTGGGGCCTGAGTGCCATAGGTCCTGGGGTCCCAGCAGCTTGATGTACTTGGACTGCCGAGTGCTTCTGTGCAAAGTGGTAGAGATGGGACCTTTGCTGACCTACCAGAGCTGTCCCATCAGCTCTGATGTGTGGGACAAGTGCACACTACCCTGTCCCCATGCCCAGGGACCCTGCTCTGTCATTTGTAGCAACATAAGATAAAAAAAAAACCTTGCCTGGATCCCACATGGCCTGTGCCACCTCATCTGAGCTCAGAGCGGGTGCTTGAACTCTCCCAGGCCCTGCGATGGCCCTCAGTCTTGCTCAGGTGAAGTGTTTCTAAGACCACGGGGTCGGGGACTGGAGGGTGGTTTCATCAGGATTGTCCCAAAGTGTTTTTTAACTTGGGGACTCTGGTGCTGGATGACGGCTGCCCTCCCCAGGGAGTGGGGGAGGGGCAGCCTGTGTAATGAGTATGGGGAACTAACTGTCATCTATGGCCTGGGCAGGGGCCCCTCATGGAATTCCAGCACTCTCTCCATTTAATGCATGTCTGTGCTGTGCCAGCCCACTTTCTGCTGTTCCAAGTCTATTGGTACTTCCCCACAGTGGTGTCCAGCACTGCCCTGGTCAGCAGGGATATCCTCTTTGGGAGGAGACAAGCTAGGATCCTGTCCTAGACTGGAGCCTCCTGCCTGGTAGAATCCCTTACCCAGCAGAAACTGGCTCCTAGCCCTTGTTCTCTTTTTCCAGGTCCCCAGCCCTTCACTCACCACCCCCAGCACCCCACTGTATCTCCCAGCCCCTCTGCCCCCCACCTCCCTCTGGCATTGCCCCTGCACCCTGCTACGGGATACCCCGTCATGATTCCCTCCAGATGAGACACCTGGGCCTCTCTCACCAGCCTCTGTCCTCTCCTCCAAGCAGCCTCCCCAAGACACAGGGTGGGGGCAAGAGCCTCTCCCAACGCCCCCACTCCCCATTCTTTCCTTGTCCATCTGCGTGTCAAACCTGGAGTGACTCTAGCACCTGGTGCCTTAACCCGGTCACATAAGCCCCCAGCAGTCTCAGGTGTGATTGACCAATCAGGTCCCGAAATGACTGACAAGTGAAAGTGCTTATGGCTAAAATGGTCTGAATCTGGGCTTGGCTTTAAAATACTCCCGGGGACCCAAAGTAGAGGAAATGGACGGAACCCGATGGATTTGTGCTGACATCTGTAGACCCGGGGGCTCAGACACTGCCCTTTCTGCTTTTGTTAATGTCTGTCCTATAAAGAGAGTTTTTAAAGGTAGTCGTGGCATGGAATTTGTTCCCAGATGAAAAAGCAAGGTGGGAAGATGTGCCCTGGGCCTGAAGTGTGCTTCGGTCAGAGACAAGGTGGCACTGTCTGTGACAAGGGCCTGGCTCAGGTGCTGAGTCTCTGGTGGGGCCCTGGTGTGGGCTGGCAAACAGCCACCCGTGTGCCTGGTCCCAAGTCAGCAGCCGGATGTTGGCCAACACGTCGCATAGTTCCTCCTTTGCCAGGAGAGGAAACTCACCAAGACAGGGCTGTATGAGGTGCGGACATGGCTGCAGTAAGGCTGGACTGTCAACAACATCACCCCTCCCTGGTACAGGGTCCTGGCAGGCAGGGCATAGCTTACAGGTCTGGAGCCCGGTGGTCCAGGCTGGTCATTAACAAGGCAGCTCAATGCCTGGGAGGAGGTGGGGACATCCACAGCCCCATCCCCTGGTGTGTCCCAAGCCCCATGCCATCCCAGGTGCCAGCTCTTGGCTCCCCCACATCTCTATCCCCAGGTGGCATCCTCTGTGCTCGGTCAATGCCAGCTGTCCCCTCACTCCTGAGCAGTCTGGCCTCACCGCCAGTGTGTATTGGTGCCTTCAGGCCATGGCTGGGCCGGTCAGAGCTCAGCTCCGGGTGGCTCTTAGGGGCTTCCCTGACCACTGTCCTAGGTTGCCCTCCCTGTGCGCTATCCTGGCCCCTATTTGGGTTTATGCTTTGGATTCGAGTCACCATCCACATCAGCAGAGGTCAATAGGTGGTTAGAGAATCCCTTGAGCTGGTGTCTGAGCCTGGCCCCAAGCTCAGAGCTGATACTGGGAGAACAGAGGTCTTGCCCCCTGGGTCTCCTGAGGGCCAAGGGCTCTGTTGGGGCTGGGGGAGGTGGGCACCCTCAATTCATGCCTGTGCTTGTCCTTACAGACCCTTGGTCTGCCTGGTTCTCCCACCACCTGGGCCTCTCCCACCAGCCTCTGTCCTCTCCCCAAGCAGCCTGTGTCCCCGCACTGTCTGGAACACAAGTTGGTGTTCCATAAATGTCTGGGGTAGAACCTATTCACTCCTCCAAGGGTGCTGGACCCTATGTCACAGAGGCAGAGGGCCAGATGAAAAACTGAGGCCCAAGACTGTTAGAGCCAGCTCCCAGGTGCGTGTGAGCACCATTGCTGGTCCCTAATGTGTCCTAATTCCCTGTACTCATCTGTGCAGCCAGCCCTACCCAGGAGCCCAGGGACAGTGCTGTGGTAGGGGTGGGGTGTCAGGAGAGTGAACAGGGTGTGTGAGAAGCAAGGAGAAGGAGCCACTGAGTCAGGGAGACCCCACAGAGGGACATGCAAGGAGGTCAGGTTGGATGGGGAAGAAGGTTCTAGGCAGAGGTCCAGCCTGGGAGTGAGCCCTGAGGCCAGCAGGAGCTGCACCTGGCTTTGCAGGAACCGCAAGGTGGGGGCGTGACAGTGTGAGAGTCACCTGGAACTGGGAGTGGCTATGAAGCGCTGAGGGCAGAAGGCTGGTTTCTTTTGTCTTTTTCCTATAATAGATGGAGAGGTTAGATAGTTGGACAGGTGGGCAGGTGGATGGGTGAGTGGGTGGACAATATTATTGTCCACATTATCTATGGACAATAGATAATATGGTTGATAGTTATGATAGCACCATAATTTGGATAAGTATCCCCTGAAGGTCATGTATTAAAGGGTTGGTCCCCAAGGTGGCACTATGGGGAGGTGGTGTACCTTTAAAAGGTGGGACCTAGTGGGGGTCTTTTAGGCTATTGGGTTCAGGGCTTTGAAGGGGACTGTGGAACCCCAGAACCTTCCTTGTTCTCTTTTTGGCTCCCTGGCTCCTGAAATGAGTCTTTTGTTTGTTTGTTTGTTTGTTTAACCCAGGAGAACTTATTAACCACTGAGCCACATCCCCAGCTCAGGGACTCACTAAGTTGCTTAGGGCCTTGCTAAGTTACTGAGGCTGGTATTTGTGACCCTCCTGCCCTTGCTTCTTGAGTTGCTGGGACCACATCCAGCTTGAGGCGAGTGATTTTGCTCCGTTGTGCATCCCTGCCATGTTTACAGCCTTACCAGAGGCTGATCATGGAGCCAAACCTCCAAAACTGAGAGCTGAAGTACACCTTTTCTCTTCATAAGCTAATTATCTCAGGTATCTCAATATAGTGATGGAAAGCTAACAGATATCTGTGGTGGAAGGATGAATGATAGAATGATAATTGATAGATGGACTGATTGATAGGTAGATGGGTGATAGATGATTGATAGATATAATGGATAGATGGATAAACAGATGTCAGGCTCAGTAGGTTATCCCAAGCCCATCCCCAGACAGTGTCCCCAGTGAGGAACTAGCTCTGGGCCAGCCTGAAACCCCAGCTCAGCCTCCTCCTCCCTTACAGGAGTGGTGTGCAGTCTCTCATTGCTCAGTGCCCTTGCTTGCCCTCCTACCTGGCTGTGAACATTGGATGTATCTTCTGAGCCTTGTTGGAAACACATGCTGTCTGTTGCTTGTGGCTCTGCTGTCCCCACTGTTTACCCTTTGAGGACCTGGGCCATTTGACATGGGTAGCAGGGCCAGGACCAGGGAATGGGGTAGGCTAGGAGGAAGGCCTGATCTAGGGTGTGAAGGTGGCCCTTTCCTGCTGAACCCGGGGGGGGGGGGGGGTCGTCCTCCTTCCCACACCCACTCTGCCCGGCCTCCTCTCCATTTCCCAGGAGCCTTCTCTCCCCACTGAGTTTAATGGGGATTTAGTAGGGGTGAGATTCAAAGCAAATTTCAACTGCTTTGCTTTTGGAAATCAGGGAGTCCAAAGCTTTCATGGTGTTCTTCTTTAGCTCTCGAACACTCATTTTGGGCCAGGTGCCGTGGTACGTACCTGTAATCCCAGAGGCTTGGGAGCTCAGGCAGGAGGATCATGAGTTCAAAGCCAGCCTCAGCGAGGCCCTAAGCAACTCAGTGAGATCCTGTCTCAAAATATAAAAAAGGGCTAGGGATGTGGCTCAGTGGTTGAGCACCCCTGGGTTCAATCCCCGGTGCAAACAAACAAACAAAAAACTCTCACTTTTTGGGGAGATACTAATTCCGGTTGTTGATCTGGATGTGGCCTGAGTAGGTGTCCCCAGCCCAGCACCTCTTCCTTCCCCCAGCCTATGGAGGCTGCCAGGCCAGTTTCAGGCCAGGATAGACCCTACCCCCAACGCTTGTGGCTGCAAATGGGTCTTCTGGGAAGTGGGGTGTGAGGACCCCCGAGACATGGCCATTCCCCTCAGGCTCCACTATAATGTGGGTTATGCTTCAGGGTCAGATTAAAATTTGGGGGTCCCATGGTCACTTGACCAGAGCCTCCCCAATCCAGGCCCCATCTGTCAGAAAGGGGGACAGGTACCTGTCCTCTTGTGCCTCAAAAGAGGTCCTTGTTCTCTGACCCACATTACAGGTGAGGAGGTGGAGCTTCTGATCAATGATGGGGCTCAGCAGTGAGGTGACCCCGTGACAGAACAGCATCCCTCTCTCTTTCCAGCTCCTGAGCACCCCTCAGGTGCTGGAAGCCATGTGGACCACGACAGGCTAACCCCCTCCAAGACCCAAGTGAGCCGTGACCTGTGTCTGGCTGGACCTGGGGCTAGGGGACATTGGCAGGGCCCCTGTGAACCATCTGCAGTGGGAGAAGACCCCACCTAGCAGGTGCCGTCCCAGTGGGAATGGAAATGGTGACACTACAGAAAAGCAGTGTCAGTGCACCCCCAAATCCAACCCTGCACCTGCACATGTGTGCAGTCATCAACCCTGTGTTGTGCAAGATGCAGATGCATTTCCTGCCCTGGGCTCATGTGCCCTGTGTCCTCGCTGGCCGGGCTCAGCCAGCCCAGAGCTCCACCAAGCCTCCTGCTCTCCTCTGCAGCTGCGCCTCCTCTCCCTTGTGACAAACTTCTAGTAATGGGAGCTCTCCCCGCATCCTGGCTGTCCCTACCAGCCCCTGCACAGTTCTGGGAATAGTGTCCCTGGAGCGGCCACTGTTCTTACTTGTGTGTCAAAAGTGTTTCCTGGAGTAGGTGACATTCTATTCAGGACCAGGATGAGTCTGTTGGTGGATGGGGAGGAATCTCCAAGCAGGGGGCGTGCATACGCCTATACAAGAACCCTTCCACTGTCCTCTGCTCCGTGGGCTCCAGGCTCGGATGGGAGGCCTGTGGAGGACCAGCCAGGTGGGAGGTGGCAGATGGGAGGTGGGGCTTGCAGTGAGGGTCTTTGAAGGCCACAGTCACAGGCTCTGAGGCTACCTGGGTCAGGAGTGGGACCCAGGTGACTAGAGGCTGGGAGAGGCAGCCAAGGACCATCTGAGCCCAGGGACTGGCAGATTGGGCCTCAGGGCAGGGCCTCTGTGGGTCTCAAACGGAAGCAGAAAGTCAGCAATCCTGGGCCAGGTGGACTCAAGTCCTCTTGGGGACCTTCTGGGCCTAGGGAATCATGGCCTTAGGCCCTTTCACAGTCCTGAGGAGGTGTGTTCTCTATGGTCTCGGGTGGGGCTAGCCCGGGACCTTCCCAGGCCATTGGCCTGTGGCCTTGCCTATTTCTGGACCTTCAGGGACAAGTCCAGCCTGTGCACATGCTGGACACAAGTGTCTGTGCCCTTTACAAGGTATGTGTCACCTTCACGCATATGTCTCTGTCCCTTCACTAAATGCTTGTTACCTTTACCCAAGTGTGAGTGTAGTGGCACCCCCTTCCCCACAGAAAATCTTAACTAAGCTTCTCCAGAAATCTTTACTATGGTGAAGATTTTAGGACTGTCAGCAGAAGAGTCTACAAAAGAGTTCAATGTGGGTAAACTTCCTGTTTTCCTGTTGCTCTATTTTACTTGGCCACTGGCCTGGAAGAAATCAGCACTCCAGGTGCCAAAGGCCCCTTTACTAGTATTTCACAAACATTTATCCAGTAGAGTAGTTTGTAGAAGTGTGTTTGCAAATGCAAAGTGTGTTAATAAAAAGACAAATCCTTTAACAAGG